GCCCCACCCCCCGCCACATTACACAAGCCACACACACGGAATCACCCCGCATCATCACCCAGCCCCCGAATGTATAATCCGACAACTATTTATGCAGAGCAAGATCCAGCAGTTTCACTGCAATTCAGTGAGCCGCAAGCTCACCACCACAGCGGTGTTGAACACTGATGCATCCGCCACGGATGGCGTGAGCGCAACGCTCCCATCACGACATCAACCAATGTTTGTTGCTGATGAGAGCTCAAAAGAATACAAGGATGCTGCGATGTGCTCACATGTTTGGCATCTATCGGCCCGGCACCAAGGCACCACTGCACTCGCCGTTGCTGCCAGGTCGGGTCGGGTAGATGAGTAAAAGGCGGGTGACGCCTGCGGACACCGCTGCCTGCGATGGCACAGAGTGATGGCTGACATCGGCTATTCATCTTATTGATTGCGAACTACGTGCTTCCGCACAATTCATCAGAAGCAACTGCGTATGCTGATCTTAGTTCGAGAACACTGATTCTCCGTTGTTTAGAGAGGATTGCTACCGCATTTCAACAGCAAAGCGATCCTCAGAAGTGCATTGGCCGCTGTGCCCGTAGCCCTGCCTTCCTAGAGTGGGATGGCGTCCCGGCCAGTCGCACGAAGCCTGCGGCACGCGGCCACAGACGCGGCCGCCCCTCCCAGCCGCGTGCCGGCCGCCCCGTCGCCCCCACTTCCCCCGGGCGGCGCGGCGGCGCGCTGGCGCACAGAGCTGTTCCTCAAGCCAGACCTCAAGGTGGACGGCCTGGTTTTCAAAGACCGCATAAATGTGGTCAACAAGGCCCCAGAGGACGACCTGCTGGGGGCGCTTGCTGCGCTGCGGGCTGCGTGCCCAGGCGCGGACGTCTGCCTGCATTACTCACTGGTGAGATGGCCCTGCGCTCGGCAGTCGCACAGATGAGGTTCAGTTATTATGAGGTTCCGCCCAAAGCCACACACCGCCAGAGTCATGCAAGTGCATCGACAGCTGCCTCTGCAGTTTTGACCCCAACATATTTTCTTGCATGCTCTCCCAACTATTTCGCGCCCACCCTGACATCATTTCTCGGCTCCCGACAGAAGAACAACTACAGCAAGAACCCCGGCGCCACCGCCGCCCGCCTGGAGCGCTTCCTGTCAGACGCGGCACGCAGCGGCGCGGCCAGCGTGCTGCTGGTCAGCGGCGGGGGCAAGAAGCGGGCGTTCGACACCGTCGCCGCCCTGCGCCACCTGTCGGGCGCCGGCGGCCTGGGCACATCTGATAACGCGCCGGCGCCGCAAAAGCGGCAGCGGCGCGCCGGGGGCGGCGGCGGCGAACGCGGTCCCAACGGTCAAGAGGTGGCGGGCGGCGGTGCGGTTGGCAAGGGCGCGGGGCGGGCGGCGGCGTGGCCACCGCTGTATGTGGCATTCAACCCTTACCTGCCCAGTGAGGGGGCGCAGCGGCAGGAGGAGGAGTCGCTCAGGAGCAAGCTGGCGACGGGGCTGGTGGCTGGAGTCTATCTGCAGGTGCTAAATTGAATCTGGAAACCAGGTTCTGTATGCAGGCGGGCTGTGCATGCCCAACTTTTTGGGCGGGGCTGGCATGCACTGCAGCAGAGCCCTGGCCCTACTGAGCTAACAGGCCCGCCTGCTCCCCACGACCCATCCAATCATGAAATGCAGATGGGGACAGACATTGCCCGCTTGAGACGCGGGCTGCAGCTGTTGAAGGGGCTGCAGGGAGAGTCCGGGGAGCAGCAGCAGCAGCAGCAGCAGCAGCAGCAGCAGCAGCAGCAGCAGCAGCAGCAGCAGCAGCAGCAGCAGCAGCAGCAGCAGCAGCAGCAGCAGCAGCAGCAGCAGCATTCGTCGTCGCGGCACGAGCGGGGACGCGGGCAGCCTCAGACTGGCTTAGCTGGCAACGGGGCAAGCTCCTTGGCAGCAGCCAAGCCCTGGGCGGCCACAACTGGAAAAGCGCAGCCGCCTGTATCGCAACCGGAGCCGCCGGCGCCGCGCGGGCTCGAGGTGCTGGGCTCCGTCTTTCTGCCCAGCGCCGGCCTGCTGGCGCGCATGCGCTTCCGCCCCTGGAGCGGGGTCTTTTTGAGCCCAGAGTACCTGAGCGGCGTGGACGCTGCGGAGGCGGCTACTCGGCAGCTGCTGGGGGTGTACGCGGAGCACGGGGTGGTGCCCATCGTCGAGGCCGAGCTCAGATGGTGCGGCTGGTTGGTTTGAGGCAAGGAGGGGTCCTTGGTGCAATCATACCGCGTGAATCAAGCCACCACCCACACGCCACAAAGTTGCCCTTCGAACGAACCATCACATTGCAGGTCACAGGAGTTGCAGCGCGTTCGGCATATGCTGGCCCAGGCTTATGGTGTTGAGCTGCGTGTGAGCAATCCTTGATATTGCAGTGTAATGATCTTGTGATTGTGTGCTTGATCCTGGGGTTGCTGTTCTGCAGGAGGGTCCCAGCCAGCATATAAGTTCGTGGGCGGCGATGGGAGCCTGCGGCCTGTCTGGTCGACTGCACCCTGCAAAGCGTGCATGATGGCCCCTGCAAGCAGGAGCGCTCTCAAAATACATGAGGGGATTGCCTGGGTGCCATGCACGGAGCGCTGAGCGTGTAGTTTCTGGGAGGATGCGTGGGGCCTTGGAGATGCATCATTTTCTGGGATTGATGCAGAAGCTGGTGACGTTGCATGGGGCCCACATCGGCGGCTGGAGGGGGCCAGAGCGACGCCATCTGGCAAGGCCTGGCTGGATGAGCTTGACAGGTTTACTCGTAGTGCCAACGTATACCGTGTCAAAGAAAAATTAATAAGCCGTGAGTCGCTGGTGCACCACCGGGGCGCAAATGGGATCGGCTGGGACAGGGACACACGCTGCAATAAAGCACGCAGGTGCGTCTCCCAATAGCGCCACGCCTGCCCGTTCCTCAAGGGCTCCGTGCATCGGCGCTGAGACGCCCGCCCGTGCCGCTGGGGGGCTGGGGCTGCTGGTACATTCAACGATAGCCCTACTGGCGGCACCGCCCCGCTGGCACTGTCTCGCAAGCCGACGTACCCCGTAATCTCCCGCCTGGCCAGCCAACCACCGGTCAGCCGATGTGTGGCTGACAGTTTTTGGTGCATGAGTTGCTGCTGACCACCCCACATGCTGTAGTCATCATTAAATGCGGCACTTGGCATTTATTGTCGCCAGCCCTTGGCTGCGTTCAAGTCGCTGTCAAACGACACGTGCCAACCCGTGCAGCAGCCAGGCGCCGCCTCGTCCTCGTTGCCGCAGCAGTCCCAAAACCTGGTCGCAGGGGTCGAGTGGATCAGTGGAGAAATTTGATGGCAGCATCGAACAGGCGCTGAGGTTTGTGATGCGACCAACAAGAAGAACCGATCGACCCAGTACATATGTTGGCGAGACAGAGGAACAGTTGAGCGTGCTGCATCCTGCAAGCTTTGGCCCAGGGTGTCAAGGGGCCACCCTCAAAAGGCCACCCAGGCACCCTACTGCAGGTCGTGGCGCACCAACCATTGCAATGCGGAGGCTGGGCGGCGCCCTAAGTGGGCCCTCCACCGGCTTGCCATGTCGCCGGGAACGCATGGATGACTGTGCGCACACACACGTGCGCGCACCTTGCGCAGCACGCACGCACGCACGCACGCACCCACGCACGCACACGCACACACACACACACACACACACACACACACACACACACACACACACACACACACACACACACACACACACACAC